TATTGAGGTAGTTCCCTGATGCCACTAACTTCCTGTCTCTTGTTTGTCACATGGTAGAAGCCATAAGATGCACATTGGAAGAGGTTGAAGGACTCCTTCTGGCAATCTCAGGGCATTGTTTTCATCAAAGGACGCAGCTCGTTATCTATATTTCTGGGACTTTTCATAATTCCCAGTCCCCTGTACTGTAGGCAAGGCAATTCAATTTAGTGGTAATTCAATTCAGTGCCAAGAGCAGTAAGGAGTCACTGCTCAGCTTTTGGTGTTCAGAATAGGATTTTGAGTTGTGGTAAATATTGAAAGCTGGTGTTTGTCAAGAATAAATAATTTTCAAAATTTATTTATCTTCCATTAGCATGCCCTGTTGGAGTAGCTTATAGATCTTCATTCTCAATAAGAGACAGAGTGAACACGTAGAAAAAGTACATTTCCTATCACATGAAATGAAGATGGAAGGAAAAAGTACACCTCTTGCAGTAAGGTAAGGAGAGGCAGAGGTCAGGTATTTAGAGATAGGAGGGTTTCTTTTTCCCATAGAGACTAAAATCCTACAAATGGAGGTTTGGACAGTATATTATATCAGCTTTCAGTTACTATAATGAAATTCCTGAGTCAAGTAACTTATAAAGAGAAAAGGACTATTGACTTACAGTTCTTTAGTTTCTGGGCCAAGATCAGGTAGCCCCAATTCTTTGGGCCTCTGGTGAGTTGGCACATCATGGTTGAAATACATGGAAGAACATTGGCTGGGGTTGTGGCTCAGTGGTAGAGCACTCACCTAGCATGTGTGAGGCCCTGGGTTAGAACCTCAGGACCACATAAAAATAAATGAATAAAATAAAGGTATTGTGCCCAACAACTAAAAAATAAATATTTTTTGAAAAAGAAATACATGGAAGAACAAACTGCTCACCTATGAACCAGAAAGCAAAGAAAAAGAAGAAGAGACAGAGTTCTACAATCTCTTCAAGGCATTCACCCAGTGACCTAAAGACCTTCTACTAGGCCCCACCTACTAAAGGTTCACAGCATCTCCCAATATTACAGCCTTGGAGACTAAGTCTTTAACACACAGATCTTTGTAGGACATTCAACTTCCAAGCCATATCATTCCTCTCAATGTCTCTAAAGTTTCATATATATTTTGGGGTTCATATCTATCTTGGCTTCTTTATATCAATACTAGCAACTGCACCCTCCTTGACCACACCTTTACACAATGCAAAATGTGCTCTCTAACCCAAGAGTCCCTAAAATCTAAACTATTACAGCAAGGTCCAAAAGTCTGTCTAGGACTGGGGTTGTGTGTGGCTCAGTGGTAGAGTGCTTGCCTAGCACATGTGGGGCACTGGGTTCGATCCCCAGCACCACATAAAAATGAAATAAAGATATTGTGTGTCCACCTACAACTAAAAATAAATAAATATTTTTAAAAGTCTGTCTAAAGTCTCCTCTGAGACCTAAGGCAAAGTCAGCTATGAGCTCCTATATAAATAAAAAAGAAACATTTTATATAATTCCAAAAGGCAATGCCTGTCCCACACAGGCACAAAGTAAATATTAACAAAGAATAGTAAAACAGGGCTGGGATTGTGGCTCAACGGTAGAGAGCGCTCGCCTAGCATGGGTGGAACCTGGGTTCGATTCTCAGCACCACATAAAAAATAAAGGCATTGTGTTGTGTCCATTTACAAAAAAAAAAAAAAGGTTCTCTCTCTCTCTATCTATCTATCTCTTCTCTCTCTCTCTCTCCCACCAGCTCTCTCTCTCCCCCAAAAAAAAAAAAAAAAAAAAAGAATAGGAAAACAGTAAGGATGGATCAGACTCAAACAAGATTGAAATCTAGCAGGGCAAACATGAAATCCTAAAGCTCCCTGTCTGACATCCATGGTACACTGTGACAGAAGGTGGGCTCCCAAAGGCTTGAACAGCCCTGCAGCCTTGCTAGTTCCAACCCACATGGCCACATTCTCAGGCTGGCTTTGCACACTGCCCATAGATTCCCTTTACAAGTGCCACACACCCTGGTACCACCTCCTTCCTTGGTTCTCCATTACAGCTTTGGCTTTGTTTCTATGGCTCCATTACACGTGGCCTTGTTGGGGACTGCTTTCAGGGACTCTCACCCCACAGCTCACTGCCTTTTGGGAACATTAAACATCCAAACTATAGAAGATAGATAGAAGGAAAAGTTAAAAGCATAGATTTTTGACTTGCTTCCTCTGGGAAGGAACCAGAGTGACAATGGAGTGAAGAAGAGAGAAGACCTGAGCTAACACCTTCAAGCTTCTCATAGGCTACTTGTGTATACTGCAAAAAGTCACAAAGTAACTTTGTTACCTCCAAAAGAACAATGGGAGTGATTCTGGGTGGGAGAAATTGACCCTGGAGCAGAGGGGTTACTTCATCAACTGCTAAGACCTCAGAGGAATTCATACCACCAGCAAGAGCCTGGGTGGGACCAGCTCTGACCCTGAGGACTAACTAGAAGTTCACCAGTCACACCCTGTATTAGCCAGTCAGCACAAGGGACACAAGGACCAGACAAGGCTAAATATCAGGACCCTGAGGTAGAACAATGATCTAAGGTCTTTAGCCCAGGATCACCATGTGGTCACATGAAGGTCACCATATACCCATCATGGTTTGGGCAAGAAGCAGGATACTAAGGTGTCTTGAGTTACCCAGAAGAAACTAAACCAGAAGATTCTCAGACACTCTCAAATATCAATGTCCAGGGCTGGGATTGTGGCTCAGTGGCAGAGCACTTGCTTTGCACATGTGAGACACTGGGTTCAATCCTCAGCACCATATAAAAAATAAATAAAAATAAAGATATTGTGTCCATGTCTAACAAAAAATATATATTTAAAAACAACTGTAATCAATATCCAATTGAGGGATGGAGGTGGGCAGGAGGTGGAAAGGTCTGGGGAAGCTGGAACATTTACTGATATGGTATAATGGAATATGCAAGAGGCCAGAACTTGGTCCAGGATGAAGTTGCCAGCCTTAGAGACTGTTTTAACCATGTACCTGCCAAATAAAATCCCAAAGACTGGGAGGAGAGTTGGATGGGGTGGGTACTGACAGAGAAGAGAATAGGAAGCTGTAGAGAAAATTGGGTTTATTGTTCAGGGCTGTAAATCCAACATCTGAATCATGCCTGCCTTCGCATAAGTAAATGAACAAATGAATAGATGATGGGCAACACCTACAAAGAAGGCTGAGAGGAGGGACAGAAACTGGGGCCTGTAAAATCCTTGTTCACCATCTAATAGGAAATAAATTCTAAAAACTCACACTTTGTAATTACAGTCTTCTCTCAGTATTCATGGGGGATTGGTTCCAGGACCAACTCCCCCGGAAGGATACCAAAATTTACAGGTGTTCAAGTCTCTGGCATAGTATTTGCATATAACCTAACCACGTCCTCCTGAATATTTTGAATGATCTCTAGGGCACTTGTAATGCCTAATACAATGTAAATGCTATGTATATAATTGTTGTACTGCTTAGGGAATAATGACAAGAGAAAAAGTCTGTACATGTTCAGTACTGATGCAATTTTTTAAAAATATTTTCAATCCACAGAGGATTTACTGTACATATATTATATCATATATTTGACATGTATCAGCAGACTCTTGCTTGTAGAAACTAGTTTCAGCATTGGTTACAGCTGCAGTTGGACCCTGAATAATTCTGCACCCATCAGCTCATAGCTTAGGATCCAGGTACAAAGGACAGAAAAACAGAAGCACTGTGACAGCAAAGATGGTATTTTACTCACTGCTTTATCTCCAGCTTTGAGAACACTGATTCATGTGTTATAAGTGATCGATATTTGTTGAATGAATAGGCTTTCAACAAACTATGTTTAAAACCCTTGATCCACAAGATTTGGGCTTTAATTAGAATAAGATAAATTCCATGCATGTATAATTTTATCAAAATGGACTCTAATGTCTTCTGTAACTAAAACTTAAAATATAAAAATTTCACATAAAAAAGAATGAAGAGAACACAAGACATTCTCTAGAGTACTGAGAAGGGGTGAGAATATCTGGTAGTTGGTTAAAGCATTCTAAAAGTCATTGACTGTTTCTTTAATTATTGTACAACAAGCCACATTCTATGAAGGGCTGACTGTATTTAACAGTTTACTATTTTCTGTGCTCTTGAGGTTGTTTGTTGCATCCAGGGCTGGCAACTTCATGGACTGCGACCTGAACAGTACCCAGGACCCTAAACTTTGAAGGGCATTTGCTTGGTTTAAAGTTTTTCTGTTATCTGAAAATTAATAAAACTTTGATCCTACGTTTATTTTGAACTGAGAGCCATAAATTATGTAGTAAGCCCTGATTATATCTGAATGGTGGAAATACTATATGATGATGTATTGTTTTGTGTCTCTTTCCAATTCAGGATTCAGTGCCCTCATATCCACAGTATGAAACATTGTAGACGCTGGTACTAGTCACAAATCGGCGTGAGAAGCAATTGTAAAACATTCATCAGCACACTCTCTATAAGCCCACATGACATACATAAAATCATCATACACCTCCCTTCCCCCTCTCCAGCGCCTATAGCTTTAGATAGGATTCCAGAGTGGGAAGGAAGGTCTTTTTGCATAGCAGCTTATTATTTATTGATGACAAATAGAAAAAAAAAAAAACAATTAGCTCAGCCTAGGCGTTATTTCAAAATCTAAATTCGGATCTTCCATGGTTGAAATACTACACCGCAGAACAGTGAAAGAAATTCGCCTAAAGCAAGATGCGCATCAGTGGATAAAGGGTTAGGAATCAAGAACGCGCTCCTGCCTCCTCTCCCTGGCCTGAGCCGCCCCTCCCACCGTCCTTTCTCCTTCCCCGGGAAATGCAGGGCTGAGAGGCGACAGCCTGAGTGATGCTCGCCAGCTCTGGGCTGGTGAAAGCGCACGACCTCCCTCCCGGTCCCTGGAGCCTGCTAGTGAGCCTGGCGTGCGCAGAGCGATGGAGGCCTCCTGGCTGGAAACGCGATGGGCGCGGCCTTTATACCTGGCGTTCGTGTTCTGCCTAGCCCTGGGACTCCTGCAGGCCATCAAACTCTACCTACGAAGGCAGCGACTGCTGCGGGACCTCCGCCCCTTCCCGGCGCCTCCCACCCACTGGTTCTACGGGCACCAGAAGGTAGTTGGAAGGGAAGGGGTCTTAGGTGGGTGCCAGAGACAGCCTGCGGATGGCGAGGCGTCTGCTGCTTTTCCTATCTCCAGACCCTCGGTCCTGCACGGAGCCCCAGCTCAGCCTGTGACTCTCAGCACCTTTTCAGCAGCCCCACAGGGAAAGGTCATTAGAGAAGAAACAGTGGGGGATCGGGAGGGAGCTATTGAAAAAGCGAGGGGTAACCGCCAATTGCTTCACCCATCTCTTCCATGTATATATGTACTACATTGTAAAATGCCTTCCACATATATTGTTTAAAATAGTATGTTATTATAAACAATACTTATTAATTGCATAAAATGTGCAACATTAAACACAATTGTTGGCACCCTTTAGTCCATTCTAACCAAAGAAAATTAACTTTCTTTTCCAAAGATTCTTGTGAAGCAGGGAGCTATCCCAGCCAACCTCTCAAGAAATATGATTGATTGAAATTTATCAAATAAAGAGGGAGACTGTTGCTTTTGGGTCTCTCCTGTTCTCTAAATCTGCTCCCAGTCCTGATTTTGTTTTTAATTCAACCAATTTTGAGTGGCATTTGTGTGATAGATACTAGAATTACAAAAAACAAAATGGGCCCCTACCTTCAAGGGGCCCAAGTCAGGTACAGACTTAGGCCACCAAAAGAAATGAAAATACAAAGTAGAAAGTGCTTCAATGGAGGCTCATAGAGTCTTGGAGAATTCCTAGGAGAGAAAAGAATGTCTGTGAAGGGCTGTGCAGAATCTTAAAAGGACGGGTGGGGCATGTAGGTTTTCATCTTCTAATGTCTTCTTCAGTTTCTTTCTTTGGTGTTCTATATTATTTTGGTTGTGTGAATCCTATTTACTGCTGATCTAAATGGTCCAGGCTGATTTTGACCCTTTTCTACTACAGCTCCCTCCCCTATAGTATGGCTAACTTCCTCAGTTTCCCATGTGCTTAGATTTTCAATATCTGTTATGCTTTTTATGGAAATAGCTTTAATAGGGCTATCACACACATCTCAGTATTTTCAAATATTAAAATATACCAAGTAATCTATCAGGCCAGATGCTTTTCTGGAGGCATTTCTCCCACAGCCCTCTCCTCCCGCTCCAATCCAGTTAGGCCTGGTACATAGCTGTTGTTCCAGGACCTCCTATTGATGCTGTCCTGTGTCACATCTCATGTCTCCTGGTCAGTATGGCTTCTTTTGTTTCCTATTTATTTCATCATTTTTATGGTTTGATTCTTGGGAATGAGTGAAGGATTTTTTTTTTTTGAGCTGTTAAATGGCTATTAACATTCTAATTTCAAACATGAATGGAATTAAGTTTGGCTAGGTATAGAATTCTTTAGAAATTATTTACTCTCAAGGCTGGCATTGTGGCTCAGTGGCAGAGCGCATGCCTAGCATGTGTGAGGCACTGGGTTCTATCCACAGACCACATAAAAGTAAAATAAAGGCATTGTGTCTATCTACAACTTAAAAAAAAAAAAAGAAATTGGTTATGCCCAAGCCAGGGGAGGTGGCTCATACCTGTAATCCCAGCAGCTGCAGAGGATGAGGCAGAAGGATCATGAGTTCAAAGCCAACCTTAGCAACTTAGCAAGGTCCTAAGCAATCAACAAGACCCTGTCTCTAAATAAAATATAGAAAAGGGCTGGGGATGTGGCTTAGCCCCCTGGGTTCAATCCTTGGTACCAGAAGAAAAAAAGAAAAAAATTGTTTATTCTCAGAATTTTGAAGGCGTTATTTCATTGTCTCTACCTTTCAAGATGACTATTGAAAATGCTGATAATTTTCTGATTATTTTGTTTCAGGTTTTAATGTATATGTTTAAGGTTAATAAAATGATGTTTTAATATATGTATCTTGATAGGCATAAGAATAGTAAGGAGATTAATATAGTCAAACAAATTAGCATTTCCATCATCTCATATAGTCACCTTCTCTCCTTTTCTTCCTCTTCTATCCCCTCCCAACTCCTTTTTATTTTCCTTTAGTTTTTTATTATTGCATTATAATCATATGTAATAGTGGGATTCATTTTTTTAAATAGAGAGAGAGAGAATTTTAATATTTATTTATTTATTTTAGTTTTCGGTGGACACAACATCTTTGTTTGTATGTGGTGCTGAGGATCGAACCCGGGCCGCACGCATGCCAGGCGAGCGAGATACCGCTTGAGCCACATCCCCAGCCCAATAGTGGGATTCATAGTGTTATATTTATACATGCACAAAATTTGATAAATTTCATTCCACAGTACCTCCCTCTTCCTGATCCTTTTCTTCTACCCTAAGGGTCTTCCTCCTATTTTTATAAGATTTCCTCTCCACTCCAACCCCACCCCTCCTCACCTTTTTTTTTCCTCTCTCTCTAGCTTCCACATGTGAGAAAAAAAACATATGGCCCTTGACTTCCTGAGTATGGCTTATTTTACTTCACATAATGTTTTCTAGTTCCTTCTTATAAGTGATATGATTTTATCTTACCTCATGGCTGAGTAACTCCATGTGTATCTATATCATGTTCTTTATTCACTTGTCCATTGATGGACACTAAGGCTGCTTCCCTAACTTGGCTGTTGTGAATTGCAATGCTATAAACGTAAATATGCAATTGTTGGTAGGACTGAAAATTAATACAACCACGCTGAAAAGCAGTATGGAGACCCCTCAAAAAACTAGGAAAGGAACCCAGCTATCCCAATTCTTAGTATTTATCCAAAAGAACTAAAATCAGCATACTATATGATACAGCCACATAAATGTTTATAGCTACACAGTTCACAATAGCCAAATTATGGAACCTGACCAGATGCTGTCAATAGACGAATGGATTAAAAAAATGTGATACACACACGTTTTACTCAGCCATAAAAAAAGAATGAAATCATGGCATTTGCCAGTAAATATATAGAACTAGAGAACATCATGCTAAGTGAAATAAGCCAGATTCAGAAAAATCAAAGGTCAAATGTTTTCTTTCACATAGGGAAGTTAGAACACAATAAGGGGAAAAAAGGAAGGATCAGCTATCATAAGGATATGGGGAAGATCAGTGGAGAAGAAGAAGGAAATTGAGATGGAGGGAGGAAGGACTGGAAAGGAGAGGAAAAGCAAAATAAACTTAACAAAGTCATGCTCTGTGCATGTATAAATATACCACAGTGAATTTCAAGTATAGTATGTATAGTATTTATAGAAAGTATATATATATAGAAAGTATATGTATATATAGAAAGTATATATATATATATACTTTCTATAAATTATATAGAAAGCAAACAATAAAAAATAAATAAACAAGCAAAGGACGATTAGTAAAGGAAGGAAAATAGAGAAAGGGAGGATGGAAGGGAAAGTGGGGGAAATAAGGATTGAAATGGAATAAATCAAATATCATGCTTGTATGATTTTGTCAAAATGAACACAACTACTATGTATAACTATAATGCTAAAAATAGTATACATATATATGGTATATATATATATGCACTTATTTCTTTACATATATATATATATGACATATATATGCACTTCTTTCTATGTATAGCTATAGTATGCTACTTTAATTATTTTGGATAAATATCAAGCAGTGAAATAGCTGGGCCATATGGTGGTTCTATTTCTAGTCTTTTGACTAGAAATAAATTATTATGGAGCCTCCATAATAATTTTCTTAGTGGACATATTAATTTACAATCCCACCAACAAAATGTAAGTGTTCTTTTTTGCCACTTCCTCACCAGCAATTATTATTATTGGTATTCTTGATGATTGCAGTTCTAATGGAAGTGAGATGGAATTACAATAAAGTTTTGATTTGTATTTCCCTGATGGCTAAAGATGTCAAGCATTTTTTCTGATATTTCTTGTCCATTGTTATTTCTGATTTTTGAGGAATATGTTTCATTCATTTGTCTATCTACTAATTGGGTTACTTGGTTTTTTTCAGGAGGTGTTAGTTTTTTTTTTTTTTTTAATTCTTTGTATATTCTAGATATTTATCCCCTGTCAGAAGAGTAACTGACAAAGATTTTCTCCCATTCTGTAGTTTCTCTCTTGACACACTTATTTCTTCTTTTCAGTTTGATGCCATAACATTTGTTAGTCCTTGGTATTATTTCCTGAGTTTTGCAGTCCTGTTAAGGAAGTTATTGAGACAGGACAAGTCCAGCCAGTTCTCTAATTTCCTTTATTTTTTCTTTTTCTTCTTTTCTTCCCTGCAGTTTCTTCAGGAAGATAAAATGGAGAAGCTTGAGGAGACTGTTGAAAAGTATCCTTGTGCCTTCCCTTGTTGGGTTGGGCCCTTTCAGGCATTTTTCTTTATCTATGACCCAGACTATGCAAAGACATTTCTGAGCAGAACAGGTAAGACAAGGGGCAAATCCTCCTAGGAGTGAGATGGACATGACCCACAAGCAGGAACTGAAGCAGAGATTAGTACTGGGTCTTTTAAAAAAACAAAAAACGAGGGGTTTTATTCATGAGGGAAAACTGTGGTTAGGACACAAGCCAGCAGGTGGTCACAGCCTCATAATACTGAGTGTCCACCTGCAGGGTGGGGGGAAGCACGAAGGGAATACACCCAGAAACCCCATTCCACTCCTAGAGACCCAGACACACTCCCAAGTGACTCAAATGACAGGTGGGGACAACAATTAGATGGAATAGTGGCCAGAATGAGGACCTGTGAGACCTGTGGAATGTGGCAGGTACAGAACCCCTATCCATTCAGAAATCTCTTGGACCCCATTTGTCTTCGTCTTCAAGGATGTCTTGAAGGTCATGTGCAAGTGTCTTCAAGGCGGCTTCTAGTTGCTTGCCATATACCCCGAGGCCCCAGCCATGGGGCTCCCCAGGAAAGGCTGCTGCTGGGACACTCTCCTGGGTACTCTCTGGAAGGTTCCCACAGGCCTGGCCCTGAATGGAGAAGCTTCTGGGGCTTCTTGGGCTGGGGAAGTGGGCGTCTTTGGCAGATGGGCATGTACAAGACAAGCCAGACCAGGGGGGGCTTGCCCAGGTTGGGCTTGCCCAGGTTGAGTGTGCCCAGCATGAACACGAGGGCTGCGAGGGCCGGTAGGGGTGGAATTCAAAGTGGTGACAGCCTGGTTCCCAGTACCAGTATGAACACTGCTGCACCCTAAACCAGTTCTTCATGTGTTGCTCCTCTAGGCCGAGGTGGGAGGCCAGGGGCACCAGGGCACCCAGGGATGGAAAGGGGTCCTTCAGGAAGTGTGCTTCTAGCTCCTCCTTCTGCTGCTTGCTGGGGATCAAAATAGGCCAATCCAGGGCCTATGGGCCCAGTATACTGCGAAGGCTTTGGATATTAGCCATGGCAGTGGAGGCTCCATTCAGAGGAAAGGGAGTACTGGGTCTTTATGATACCCTGGAGCAAGTGTGGAGAGGGGACAGGACTCTGACCAAGTGAACTCCTTATGTCCTTCTCAGTCCCTAGTCTAGTTCCCAACTCCAGAGTCCTTTAAAGCTGAGCTGTCATTACCAGACTGGCCTTTGCCCCTCTCATTTTTGTGACTTCCCTTTCATCAATACTCCCGACTCCCATCTGTCCAGAACATAAGCCTCCAGGGGAAATCAGAAGTATCCCCGCCCCTGTAGGCTCAATACATAATTCTGGATGTATATCTTTCCAATACCAGCCCAACCTCTTGATTATGATCCAGTTTTTTTTTAACCTTTATGTATGTTACTCAACTATGTTCTTTTGGGGGCCATGAATCAGTTGCCTCCTCTACCCACCCCTTTTCAAGGCCTCCACCGTGAATTATGCATAGCACAGAACTAACATGGCCAGTGTTTGCTCTGTCAACTTTGCAAAACAAGTGTCTCATATTCTAACTGTTCTTCATATTCCTCATCCTTAGTAAAACCTTATAAAAGAAAAGAGCCTTTCCCTGAAAGTCTCCAGGTTTCCCATCCCCCTCCTCTGATTTGTCTCAAGTTCAACTCTTAAGAAACTCCATGTCAGAGTCACAAGAGCAACAGGAGGTGTTCGTATCTCACTCTATGGTGACTGCTGGTGTGTCTCATATTTAATATACCTTTCACAAAGGATATATGTTGTGCTACTCCTGTTCTGGAAATGTGGCAATCCTCTGGCAACCACTGTTTCTGTTGGTGGAAGAGAAAATGAGGGAAGAATCTGGGTTTGGGTATCTGTGTGTCTCCCCGGACTTGCTGTTCTCTGGTACTGAACCAAGACCTGTGTTTCCCCCACCTCCCAGGGCTCCCATTTGCTCCCTGTTTGTGGTGAACATGAGCAAATGATAAAAAAAAAAAAAAAAAACCTTCACTGACTGGTAATGAGTGCTCCCTCTAATGCTGTCTTTTGTTTGTTTCCTCTGCTTGACTCTGCAGACCCCAAGTCCCAGTACCCATACAGGTTCATGACTCCGTGTCTTGGTATGTATGTGCCAACTTGTAACCTGCTTTCCCACTAAGTCCCCTTTGCATGGTAGAGCACTTCAGAGACTCAAATCTGACCTCAAAAGTATCAAGAGTGAGGTTGATATATACTGGGAGTTATCTAGGGGAAGGTCACAGGGGAGCTTGAAGGTCAACTCAGAACTTCCTGGAAAGCCTTCTCATCCATTTCTCTCCTCAAAGTCCCATTTTCAAGGCATCATAGGGATGAAACTGTCTCCTCAATTTCTTTTTTGTTTTAATAGAGACATCACATTTTTATTGTTTGTTTTAGCCAACATTCATTGACTATGTGCATTCCAAGAACTGTTTTAAGCACTTTATATTAATAAAGCTTTTTTTTAATCCATGACATTGCCAATATGAATGAAGCAACTGAAAATGATATAATATATTCCAAACAAGACATAAATTTAAACTAAATCAGAATATCTATATTTTGTTTTTGTGTATCTAACCTACATTACCTTCTCTTTCCTTAAAATTGTAGCTTCACCATTCCTACTCTGAGAGACTCCTTTGGTCTCTCTTGTTTCCTTGGATTTTTTTTTTTTTTTTTTTTTTTTTTTTTTTGTAGTTCTCTTATTTTCATATGCAAATCAATGAATTTTATTCTGAAGTACAGTTTGGCAATATTCTATGAGCAGATAAATTAAGCTCTTTAGTCATATAATCAATGTGTGTGCTAGACCAGGAAAGAATTAAATGAAAGAATCTAGGCTTTGGATCCAGATCCCCTTAGATTTGAATCCTGCCCCCCATACCAGTAGACTAATTGAATGTGATTTTAAGGAAGTGATTTAATCTCTCTATGCCTTAGTTTCCTCATCTTTGAAAATGAGGATAAGAATCACTGTTATAGCTGTTATGAGACAAATTAATGTGTATTTCTAGCACTTTATGTAATGCCCAACATTGTACCAGAGCCAGACTATGCATCATGAGCTTGGCATATTTTAAGCACTCAATGAATAGTGTCATTCAGACTTTCAGGTCCTTTTAAAAATAAATCCTTAATGAACACTCTGGCAATAGATTATGGTGAGGTATTAGCCTTGATAAGTGTTTACATGTGTGTCATTCATAGACCAGGGCTCAAGAGGGTGGTATCTGGAAATACAGTTCCTAGTGAATTTGTATTTCACTCATTTATGAATTGGTTTACAGTGGAGAGGAGATGGATATTTGTTGTGTTTCTACTGTGAGCTAGGGCAGGACTAGGTTTTGTATCTTATTATACATCTCCATAGAATCTGCATGACACAGTAAGATTGGTATTTATTATCAAAATTTATTATTGAAAAAAAATAAGCCTCAGAAAGTTTAATCAACTTCCTCAATTACTACATAGTGATTTTAGTATTACCACTCTCATTTCATCAGACTTTGAAACTTATCAGACTTTGAAACTCAGGATGTTAAATTCATCCATCCCAGATATAAGCAACAAAACTCGCTACCATCTTAACCTATGAGCCCTTCTTTGATATTATACTATTTCACTCCATGCTATTCTTTATCTTTCCTTTTTCTCTGATCTAATAAGTGGCATGGATTTATGTCTTTTATTTCTCAAGGAAAAGGACTCTTGAATCTAGATGGGCCCAAGTGGTTCCAGCATCGTCGACTACTGACTCCTGGATTCCATTGTGATATCCTGAAAACATATGTCGATATGATGGCCCATTCTGTGAATACGATGTTGGTAAGTAGGGTGGGGAAGTGAAGCTCTGTTGCATTGCAAGGGGCTTCTAACTGGAACTGTATTAGGCATACATTTCATGGATAGTGAAAATCAAAAGTCAATTTCTGAAATTAATCCATGTATAAGTACCCACTGAAAAATAGATGTTTGTGTAAGCTTTTGCTGTTTCTTTGGGTGATTAAAATAATAATGAAAAGATCTAGTCTTCTGACTTGGTGAATTGCTATAGAATCTCAGAATATATATTGATATTCATGCAGTAAGTGCTGTAGGTGACAAGTAAGAAAGCCAAGACCAGCTATGGCAGCTTCTGATTCCAGAGAGACTAAAATTTACCATGAAATATAAATTAGATGTGTGTATATGTAGATAATATGATTGAGAGAGTTCTAGATGGAGCTGGTCAGCATGAACAAAGATTTGTAGGTTGGAATGGATTTGTATGAGGGCCATAAAGAACTAAGCAGAGGATTAAATGTCTTCATTGAAATCCGGATATGAAGTTCCCCTTGTAGATAGTGAAGGATCACTATGAGGTGATCTACACCCCAAAGGAGAAGGAGGTCTTTGCAGAGGAGCATTCCTGGGATCGTTTCTGATTTATAGTTAGCTGTGCCCAAGCTCTACTTTTAAAAAGCTTTTAATTTTTAAATTGTATTTCTTTTAATTGGATGAATAATTCATTAATACAGTTTCATCGTAAATACTTCAAATACCAAAAAGCCAAATTCCCTTCACCATCATCTCCAAAATCATTTCTGTTCCCAAGGAATCACTGTTTCCAGTTCCTCTACTGGCTTCTCAGCCAAGTTCACAGAATCCCATTTAACCCCTGCCTGGATGGTGGTGAAGTCATTGGTGAGGCCTTGAGGCAAAGACCCAAAGACTACCAGGTACAGAGTTAGAGAGGGAAGAGGGCACCCTCTTCCAATTCTGGTGCTGCTCAGCGACCAACACAATTTCAACCTCCATTTCTAGGAGCTATTTCTGCCTTTCCTGTTTCTCAGTCCATTTCCATGAGTTCCTCTCATACTTCCTCCCCCTGCAGAACAGTTCCAGAGTGCACTGAACTTCAAAGACTGTTCTTGCTCTCATCTCTTCTAAACGTAACATTTGTGCTCATTGTGCACACTGTATACATGTGTTGAAATATCACATTGAGCCCCATTAATAGATTCAACTAATGGAAATTAATTAAAATATTTTTTAAAGTAGCTAATTCAGATGCAAGCTACCTGACTAAACAATTGACACTTTGGTATAAGGTTTTCAAACTCTACCTTTTATTCAGACTCCTAGTCCTTGGGAACTAGCTTAGCACTTGTAGATGCTCAACAAATGCAGGTTGACTTGAGCTTAAACATTTCCATTTATTTGCATTTTTACACAAAGAATATTTATATTGACAATTACATTTACAACTGGGGACTCTGTGCCAGTTTGGGAAAGTCAGGCAAAGCATTTCAAGCCGTGTGAATAGGTCTCTTTGTGGGGGGAATTCAGGTGGGCACGGGTTGCACCTGGCTGGGAGCCAGCTCCCTGCAACTATTCCACTGCCCAGCTTCTCTCTAGCCCAGTTTCTGAATATAAAATGTTTTTGAAAATGTTGCAAGTATCTTTTAAGTACCGTTACTGTGGCTGAGAGTAGTGGCAGGGTGTCTAGCAAGTTGGGGACTGAAAGTGAAGGAAGGAAACCCTTTGTACTTATGGGGCCTGCACTAGCAATGCCTATTCTACAGAACTCTGATCTATGTGGAAATAGTAACACTTGAAGGACCATTTACCAGATATGCAATTTATTACATGTTTTTTATCACTCAGCTAGATGCATATTTTTCTTCTTCAAGCCCAAAATAAGCACATGGCTCATTTGCTTTCTTAACTTTGGTTCCTGAGGGGTCAAAATTGTGTCTCTTATGTTATAAGGGCAAGGTCAGGGAGGAGACTGCAAATGAAGGCATTTTGATGATAGTGATGATGTTGATCTTGACATCCTCTGCCAGGATAAGTGGGAGAAGATTTGCAGCACTCAGGACACAGCCGTGGAGGTTTTTGAACACATCAACTTGATGGCCCTGGACATAATCATGAAATGTGCTTTCAGCCGGGAGACCAACTGCCAGATAAATGGGTCAGTGACAGGAGAGCAAAACAGATATTTGTTCATCATTATCTAAGTCAATTATTGACACAGTGTCCTAACTTTATTTTCTAGCTCCCTTGATCCTTATGTAAAAGCAACGGTTGAACTCCGCAAAATTATATTTTATCGCATGTACAATTTCTGGCACCACCATGACATAATTTTCAAGTTCAGCCCTAATGGCCACCTCTTCCAAGAGTTAAGCAAAGTGCTACATCAACACACAGGTAAATACATGGGTATTTCTTGGATTTGATTTGCCCAAGTCCATATATCATCATTAATTGTATTGTGGCTATCAAGAGGGATAAGCCTCAGTGTGAACAGAAAAAAATTATTGTTCTTAATGGAGCTTTTATAAGGACACTGCTCAAATGAAATAGAGTTTGAGTCCTTTAGAAGAGTTTGCTACATCCATTGTAGTAATTAGTCTTCTCAGGACTTCTCCTTATGTTATGCAGTTTTTATTATGTGCAGTTATTAATACAAACATAATAAGTGGACACTTAAGATTTAAAAACATATATAACATATAGCTTTTGTGCAGTTATTACAGTAATAATTATAAGTTAAAAGTACTCATGCAATGTAGGAATGGATGGGAGAAAGAGTAGACATGGAAATGCACACAAAAGAAGCTTAATTCAAAAATATGTTTATGTTAGCAAAGTGTAAACTCAAAAATTAGAATAAATTTTTTAAGCAATTCAACATTACTTTTCATAAGTATCATAATAGAGAATACTCACCCAGAGGTCTATCCCTCATGGACTCCATCATTAACTAGCAGCCTGACTTTGGACAGTTACTGCTTTGTTTCAAAGTCATCTGAAAAATGGTGATTTAAAAATAAACCTATCTCATAGGTTTCTGGTGATGATGAGTGTGCTAATAAATGTAAAAGACTTGGGATGGTACCTGGCATTGGATAAATATTAAATATAAAGTATAGTTACTATATCAAATATCTTTGCCCCCAGGAAACTTTCAAGACTCACCAATACATGCATATTCACACTTACATATACATATAGATACTATAAGGAGAACATTCAGTGAAGCAGGTTAGAAACAATTTAAGATACAAGTGGGCATTACATCTTTATAGCAATAGTCCTCAAATATTTTTGCATCATGGATCACAGAAAATATTAACTTTTATATGGTTATTGGAGTAAATAGGAGTGGATTTGAGGGCAGCTACATATGACTTAGATGATTCTTTACATTTTCATTATGTATAATTATGATGAAAGAACAAAATCAAAAGTATTAGAGAAAATATTAAGTGTCCAGGTTGCTGAAAACTTTAAAAACAAAACATTTTCAGTTGTGTATGGTGATGCATGCCATAGTCCCAGTAACTTGGGATGCTGACGCAAGAGGATTGCAAGTTCAAGGCAGTCTCAGCAATTTATCGAGGTGCTGAGCACTCTGTGAGACCCTGTCTCTAAATAAATACAAAATAGGGCTGGGGGTATGGCTTAGTGGTTGAGTGCCCCTGAGTTCAATCCCTGGTACCCCCCAAAAAAAATTTTTTTAAATAACCTGCTGGGGATTTTCATTGTGAGTGTGTTGAATCTAAAAAATCAAGTAGGGAAGAAGAAGTGACATCTTGACAATATTGAATCTTCCTATCTATATACATACACGGAATATTTTTTCATTTATCTAGATAAATTTTATTTTTTTCTTCAGGTTTTTAAAGCATTCCTCATAATAGATTTGCACATCCTTTGTTACATTTATATTAAGTATTATGTTTTTCAGAACTAATGTACATAATATTCTATTTTTAATTCAAATGTCAATTGTTTGTTGATAGTATATAAAAAATCACTTCTATTTATTAACTTCATATCCTACAACCTTGTCATAATTACTTACTAGTTTCAGGTGTTTTTTGTTGAATCTTTGAGATTTTTCTACTATCATATCATCTGTGGATAAACATAGTTCTGTTTATTCTTTCCTAATCTGTATACTTTATATTATTTTGTCTTATTGTATCAGCAAGGATTTCCAGTAAGATGTTGAATAGGAGTGGTGAGAGGAGACATCATTTTTTTATTCCTGACTTCATTGAAAATATCAAGTTTCTCATCATCTATGATATACACTTAGGGGTTTTGTAGATATTCTTTGTCAAGGTGAGGAAGTTTTCCTTCTGTTCCCAATTTGCTGGGATTTCTTTTAAACATGAATAAGTGTTAGATTTTGACAAATGGCTTTTCTGTATTTACTGATTAATCGTACTCTTTCTTCTTTACGCTGTTAATTAATAAGTTACATTGATTGATTTTCAAATATTGAACCAGCCTTGCCCACCTGGAGTAAATACCACTTTTGTTGAATTTTTGCATCTATGTTCATGAGAGATATCAGTCTGTGGTTCTCTTGTAATATCTCTATCTTATTTAGGTATGAAGGTAATGCTGGCTTCATAAAATGAGTTAAAGTATTCTACTTCTATTTTATGGAAGACACTGTATAGAATTCATTTGATTTCTTCCTTAAATGTATGGTAGAGTTCACTAGTGAGATTATCTGGGCCTGTTTTTTTTTTTTTTTTTTTTCCTGTTCTGGAAGGTTCTTAATTATTGATTTAGTTTCTTTAGTGGATATAGACCTATTTTAATCTGTCTCTCATGTGAGTTTTTTGAAGATTTTATCTTTCAAGGATTTGGTCCATTTCATCTGGGTTTTTTCTTTATTGGGTGAAGTATTCCACATATGTCAATTAGATTCAGTTGATAGATGATGTTGTTGGTTTTAACTGTGTGCTTCCTGATTTTTCTACACTGGATTTATAATAGAGAGACAGTGAAGTATCCAAATATTCTATCAGTTTTTGCCTCTCGTATTTGGATGCTTGTTGTTATGCAAACACATTAAGGATTTTTGATGTGCTCTTAGAGAATTAACCTCGTTATCATTATAAAATACCTTCTTTATTGGGTACCTTTCCTTGCTCTGAAGTTTATTCTGCCTGGAATGAATATAAATACTCCAGCCTTCGTTTGCTTATTTATTATGGTTTACCTTTCTTCTTTCCTTTACTTTTAATCTGTATGTATCTTTATATTTAAGGTAAGTTTCTTATAGGCAACATATAGCTGTGTCTCATTTTTTATGTACTCTGACAATCCGTCTTTCAATTGGTACATTTAGATCACTGGTGCTTAAAAAAGATAAATGATATATATAGTTGAATTAGTAGCTACCAGATTTATTACTGCTTTCTACTCTTTGTTTTTGTTCTTTGTTCTTTGGTCTTCCATTCTTTTCCTACCTTCTGTGGGTTTTTAATAAAGTTCTTTTTTTTACATTTATTTATTTTTTTAATGTGGTGCTGAGGATCAAACCCAGTGCCTCACACATGCCAAGTAAGCTCTCTACCACTGAGCCACAACCCCAGCCCTCCTTCTGTAGTTTTTAATTCAGTGTTTTCTATGATTCAATTTTTTTCTACTCTGTCAGCTTATCAATCATACATCTTGCTTTTGTCAGTGGCCATACATATCCACAGTTAATCCAAGTCTACTTTCCAGTAACACTACACTACTTCACTGGTAGTGCAAGCACCTTCTGGCGGAGTATTCCCGATTTCTCCCTCCTGTCCCCTATAGCATTACTTGCCATTTATTCCACTTATCTGGAAACTATAATCATTAAATATATTGTTGCTGAAATTACTTGAGACAAACTGTAATCTGTTAGCTCAGTTAAAAATAGGAAAATCAAAAGACCTACATTTTACCTTCACTTATCCCCTAACACTCCTTTCTTTGGGCAGATCTGAACTTCTGGTCTGTATCATTTTCCTTGTTGCTGAAGAACTTCTTCTTAACATTTCTTACAAAATATTTTTTTAATATTTTTTTAGAGAGAGAGAATCTTAACATTTACCCATTTTTTTCAGTTTTTTTGGGACACAACATCTTTGTTTGTATGTGGTGCTGAGGATCGAACCCGGGCCGCACGCATGCCAGGCAAGCGCGCTACTGCTTGAGCCACATCCCCAGCCCTTACAAAATATTTCTACTGTAACAAATGTACTCAATTTTATATGCCTTAGAAAGTTCTCTTTAATTTTTAAAGATGATTTCTCTGGGTACAAAATTTTAGACAATGGGATTTTTTTTTTCTTTCAACACTTCAAACATTTCACTACACTTTCTTTTTGCTTGCATGGCTTCTAACAAGAAGTCCAATGTGATTCTCATGCTTGATCCTCTATAAATAAGGTGTTTTTCCTGTGTTTTCTTTAATGATTTCCTGTTTGTTTTGTGCAGTTTGAATATGCTGTGCATATGTGTATTTTTTTATATCATCCTATATGGCATTCTCTGAGCTCCTTGGATCTGTGGATTGGTGTTATTAATTTTGGAAAGTTCTCAGTCATTTATTGCTTCAAATATTTCTGTTTCTTTCCTCCTTCTCCGTGTGTGTGTGTGTGTGTGTGTGTGTAGAGGTAGGTAGCACCTTCATATTTTTATCCATTTCTTCTATGAAAGTAAATTGTTTTTCTGTTTCTATTTCAGTCTATTTTGTTACATTTAATTTCCATTTTATTTAAGTTTTAAAATATACGTGAGTAGCAGGAAATAGTCAATTGTAACTCAAAAATATTTCTGCACATCAAAGTTATTTTCCTATTACGCTGGAGGCCTTTGACTTAAACATATGCAGGCAGATTTACTTTTGTGCTGCCTGATGGGAGTTGTAATTATAGATTATTTAGGTAATAAAAGAGTTGGTTCTGATGGGCGTGAGACAAAATGGCCTAGTAGAAGAACCCTTTGAGGAATTTGGCAAGTCACAAGAGTCAAGGCCACAAAGGGGAAACTATTCCAAGGAGAGAAAGAAGAGAAACTCCAGGAATCAATAAATGAGTTACAGAAAGCCTAAAATGCATAGAAACAGAGGAAAGGCAACTCTGAGTAAAGTACAAAGCATTTTACAACCTCAGCCCTCACTCCCCAGCTGAGGGAGGTGAACCCAACCCTGCAAGCCCAAGGTAAAATGGTCTGTTACTTGAAGTATATATCTTCTTAGCGATTGTCTTGTGATATCATGACTTTTAGTACTAAAAACTGAATCTTGTTCAATAAGTTTTGTTCAAATTCTACTTTGTCCAATATCAAGATTACAACCCTGCTTCCTTGTCATGTATGATTGTCTGATATAATCTCACCTATCCTTTTATGTTTAGCCATTCAGAATTACTTTGTTTTAGGTATGTTTCTTCTATGCAGCACATAGTTGGATTTTATTTTATGAGCCAGTTTTAAAATCTTTTTATTTCAATAAGCATATTATTCTCATTCTCATTCATTGAAATGACTGTTATACATGGTCACAATGCTGTCATATAGCTACGTTATCATTACTGTGTGTATTATGGTATAATTACTGTATTTATTTATTAAAGTTGTCATAACAAGTGATCACAAACTAGAACCGATGTTTAGAATAGACTTCTTCTCTATCACAGTTCTGGAGGCTAGAACTACAAAGTATTGGCAGGGCCATGTTTCCTTGGGAAGGCTCTAGAGAAGGCTCTTGCCTTCTCTTTCTGCCTCCTAGTGTCTGCTAATGATCCTTGGCATTCCTCAGCTTGCAAATGCGTCACTATTATTTCTGCCTGTCTTCAAATCGTTGATTTCTCTCTGCTTCCAAATTCCTCTCTTCTTTTAAGAATACAAGTCAGTGAGGTAGGTCCTACTCTAATCCAATACAACTTTATCATAACTTGATTGCTTCCACAAAGACTATATTTTTGAAATAAGGCCTCCTTCACAGCTCTTAGTAGATATGAATTTTGGGGAGACATTATTGAATCCACTATATAGTTTCTTTATACAGCATGTAATCTTTGGTCTTTTTATATATACTGCCTTTGATATTTAAGTTGTTTATATTTTTTAATTTTTTTATTTGTTCTTTTTAGATACCCATGACAGAAGAGTGTATTTTGACATATTATACATACATGGAGTATAAAGATGTTTATGTTTTTGTTCTGAGGCTACCATAGTATTTATTTCCTTTGTAGAATCCTTAGTCTCCTACTTTTCTTTATTTAACCTTTTACTGTTCTAAGAGGTCTAGCTTGCCAGTTTTTGTATTGTGGTAAAATGTATATAATTTAGCATTTGCCATCTTAACCTTTTGCAAGTGTACACTTCAGTGACTTCAAGTATATAGACATAGTTGAGCAACCAACTGCACTTTTAATGAAGTAGTCATCTCTGCAGATTTCTCAGAATGGGTTCATGAGCACAACATTCCCTGAGTTCTTCCATGTTTAAAACAAGTTTTTTTCTATAGCCTTGATACTGGAAGGACAGTTTGTCTACATATAAAATATTTATCTCATACTTCATTTCCTTGAGTTTCTTGGAAATGTTCTACTATTGTCTTGATTTCTTTACTGTTTGTCTCAAGTTTGAGCTAGCCCAATTTTCTCTTCCCTAAAACTCATTTAATCTTTTTGTCAGAAGTCTCTGAGGATTTTTTTCCTCTGTCTTTAATGTCAAATATTTTTACTAGATATATATCACAATTGGTCATTCTGTTCCAATTTTTCCAGGCAGAGACTAGGTCCTTTAATATATAGATTTCAATTTTTTATTTCTAGAAATTTTTCTTGGATTATGGTTTTTAACTATAGCTCTGTTCCATATGTTTTTGGGGTTTTCCTTTTGGTCCCTTCAAACAAGCATGTGTTGGAGGTGGGGGGTTATTTGTTTATTCTTGGTCATTTTTCCATTGTTTTGCCTATCTTCTATTTCACCTGATAATTTTCATGAAGATGATATTTCAGAGGAAAAAAAGAATGATTGATCATTTGAATCTAAATTTGAAATTATCTTAATTATATTGCTTGCCTACTTATATAAACTATATCTTTGGTTTGTTGTATTTTATTTTGGAACTTTGATCAAAAGTTGTCCATTTGATGGAAAAATAAGTCATCTGTGAAAATTAAATCAACTTAAATGTAATGTACCCAGTCTGGTCTCTGAAAAGCCAGCAAAATCTGAAGTTATTCATGGGTCCTGACTTACTTTATAATTTACTTGACTTTGATTGACTTTGCTGCCACTTTGGTAATGGAGAGATATTATTCTACCCAGAAAAGGTAATCCAGGACAGAAAAAAACCCCTCAAGGCTGGAATGAAGCAGGATAACACTCAAAAGAAAAAGTACCAGGATTTCCTGGATATTATCCTTTCTGCCCAGGTAAATCTTCCAAATATCTTAGACTAATTAATCATCCAGTTAACTATGTGTGTAGGTGGATAAGAGGGGATGCGGTGGAGAAAAAAGCAAAGCTGATCCAATAAATTTAACAGTACTTTTAATTGAGAGGTTGGCTCCATGAAGGTTGGGGTAAGGATAGAATTCTGCACCTGTCACGAGACATAGTCATTGAAGACTAAATTATGTATTTGACAGGATTGGGGATTATACAGATACATAGAATTTAGGGAATCAAAGGAAAATGGGTCACATGAGTAAGCATGTAAAAAGAGAAGGAGTTGGCACTGGAAAATCTGGATAGATCTGGGAGTCTGAAGAGAATTCCTTGGGCCTGATGAGTGGAAAGCACTTTGCAGTCTGCTTTTCCTGTCTAATGTTGGTTCTCCTTTATGCTCTGAGTGAGGTATCACTCATAGAATATATTTGTTGAACTGAATAAAAATTGAAACTTTTTTTTAAATCTCTAAGTCTTCCCCTGGAGCCATTAATTTTAATTGGGTCTCCAAAGATCTGTAAACTCGCATTTCATTAAAACATCTCTACTGTACATTCTAGGCTGAAAATGAAGACAGCTTCTCCAATGCTGACCTGCGGTCCGAGGTGAACACGTTCATGTTGGCTGGGCATGACACCTCGGCCGTGAGCCTCTCCTGGCTCCTCTACTGCCTGGCTCTGAACCCTGAGCATCAGGAGAGATGCCGGGAAGAGATCAGGAGCATCCTAGGGGACGGATCTTCCATCACCTGGTAAGATCTACCTCCCTAATCATTTCATTCTAGTTCTCCCCCTGGGATTCTGCTGTATTTTTTGCCCTGGTTCCTTGATAATGACAGTGACTCGTGATATGTGTATGTGGAAGCAGAAGAGGTAGGCTATTTCTCTATTCTTTCTCAAGAAAGCCCCAAGTTAGTGCCTTGTCTTTTGCAAAAATTCATTCATCCAGAAATTGTCATTGCTTTTCTACTCAGTGGTGTATAAAATGACCCATTTCTTTCTTTCACCCAATCTCTGGCACATTGGAAATGAGGACCTGACCGGAGGCTAGCATTTAGAGTTTGAATGGTTGGGCCCAAGTGGGACTCCTGAGAGAACTGAATGAACAGCTGCATCATTTAAGGCTCATTGTGGACACTCTAAACCATCCCCTTGTCATCAATTTCATTCCTCCAGGTGACTTTGGACTTTGAACATGGTATTCAGTAGGAAGATTTAATGTGGGTTCTGCCCTCAGTGAGCTCACAGTCTAATGCGGACACAGAGCTCCATAGAACAAATTGAAATATAGCGTGATAAGGACAATGATAGAGATATGTGCTAGCCACCAGAGAGACTTAGAAGACAGGCACCTAGCCTGGCATGGGGGCTCAAAGTGATTTCCTTAGAATTAGTAGAAGTTAACCACATGGAAAACTTCAACTCTACTTTGCTAGGTTTAAGTGTATCTTGTTATTAATAAAATCCAGTTTATGGATTTGCTCCTCAAATATGCTGTTTGGAAAGAAACAACATGTTTCTGACATAAATCACACCCTTCATCCTGCCTGGTAAAAAGGAGCAGAAAGATAGAAATTCTAAGGGTCACTGAGCCACATGACTAGGAAAACAAACATCGTATTTCATATGAGAGGATTAGCTCAATTGAAATATTTGTAAAGCAAAATTTGAAGTTATAAAGGTATAGTAGAGCTATCATTTTATAAGGAATTATAATGATTTCTTAACACAAATTAAAGGCTTAATTTATATAGCATAAAATACAAAATTGGACAGTCATTTTTATTTTTTGCCAGGGGTGGGGTGGGGTGGGGTGGGGGGTGGTACTAGGGATTGAACTCATGGGCACTCAACCTCTGAGCACATCCCCAGCCTTATTTTTTGTGTCTTATTAAGAGACAGGGTCTCGGGCTGGGGATGTGGCTCAAGCGGTAGCGCGCTCGCCTGGCATGCGTGCCGCCCAGGTTCGATCCTCAGCACCACATACAAAAAAAAAAAAACAACAACAACAATGTTGTGTCCGCTGGAAAAAAAAAAAGAGAGAGAGACAAGGTCTCACTGAGTTGCTTAGTGCCTCACTTTTGCTGAAGCTGGCTTTGAACTCACCATCCTCCTGGCTCAGCCTCCCAAGCTACCGGGATTACAGACATGCACTACCTCATCCAGCTCATTTTTATTTTTAACTGACAAATATGCACGTGATGTTTTGATACTTGTATAACTTGTGGGATAACTAAATCAATCAGTGGGCATATCTATTAACTTACATACTTATTTTTGGTGATGAGACATTTCAAACCTGTTAGCAGTTTTCAAGTATACCACAAATTGTATGTTGTACTTGCAATGCTACCATAGAATTGCATGATGTGCAATGTATCTCCTGAATTTATTTCTCCTATCTAACCAAAGTTTTGTATCCTTTGACTAGTATCTCCTTGTCCTTAGACCCCTGAAGCACCATTCTACTCTCTGCTTCTAGGAATTCAACTTCTTCAGATTCCTCACGTGATTGAGATCATATGGTCTTTGTCTTTCTGTGCCTGTTTTATTTCACTTAGCATAATGTCCTCCAAGTTTTTCCATGTTTTTGCAAATGATAAGATTTCCTTCTTTTTTTAATATACTTTTAGTTGTAGATGACACAATACCTTTACTTAATTTTCATGTGGTGCTAAGGATTGAACCCAGTGCCTTCCACATGCAAGGCAAGAACTCTACCACTGAGCTACAACCCCAGCCCAAGATTTCTTTCTTTTTAAGAGTTAGATGGTTTCCTATTGTGTATGTTTGCCACATTTTCTTTATCCATTCATCTGATGATGGACACTTAGGTTGATTCCATATCTGGGTTATTGTGAATAATGCTGCAATGAAGATGGGAATGCAAATGTCTCTTTGACATACTGATTTTGCTTCCTTTTGATATATATCTGGAAATGATATTTTTGGATAATATGGTCATTCTATTTGCAATCTTTAATGGAACTTTCGTACTTCTTCCTATAGGACTGCATTAATTTTCATTGCCACCGATAGTGTACAAATGTTCCCTTTTCTCCACATCCCCACCAATGTTTATCTTTCTTTTTTATTTTATGATAGCCATTCTAACATGGTTAGGTGATATCTCATTGTGGTTTTAATTTGCATTTCTCTGATGATTAGTGATGTTGAACATGTTTTTTGTATGCCTGTGGCCATTTGTATGTCTTTGAGAAATAGTGTATTCAGGTTCTTTGCCCATTTTTTAATTGGATTATTTGTTTTCTTGATACTGAATTGTGTCAGTTATTATACATTTTGGATATTATTCCTTTATCATATATATGGTTTGTAAATCTTGTCTCCCATTTTTTAGGCTGTCTCTTCACCTTGTCGATTGTTATGCATAAGCTTTTTGGTTGATGCAAACTCATTTGTCTGATTTTGCTTTTGTTGTCTGTGTTTAGAAAACCATATGTAAAAAAAAAATGTTGTCAAGACATGTCAAGAAGCTTCTCCCTTTTGTTTTTTAGTAGTCTTATAGTTTCAGGTTTTAAATTTAAGTCTTTAATCCATTTTGAGTTGATTTTTTTATATGGGGTGAGATAAAGTTCTAATTTTATTCTTCTGCATGTGCACATCTGGTTTTCTCAATCCATTTCTGCCATTTCTCCACCGTGTGTTCCTGGCATCTTTGCTGAAGAATAATTGTCCATAAATATGTGGATATATTTCTGGGCTCTTTAACCTGTTCTGTTGGTTTTTGATAATGTGCCATGCTGTTTTGATTAGTAAACTTTATGGTGGTCATCAGATAAGGTAGTGCTTTTCACAAAGCACTTTTGCCTGTGAATGTCTGTGGGAACTTCCTATTCTCTTATCCTGCTGAGTGATCATTCTTTATTTATTCATTGATGTGTTAACAGTGAATATCACTTTCCAACATGCCTTAGATATTTTAACCTTCACTAGGGTAAATACCTACACAACTAAAATATCACCCTTTCTCATTCTTGTTTGGCCTAAATGGGAAAAGAGTAAGTAACTCTCTGCTGGCTGAGAAAACAAAGTCTAGATGATCTGTTAATTGTCATTTATTTTAATGAGACAAAGGGCAAAAATATTACAAAGAACAAAATGTCTTTTTTTACTGTCACATGTATTTATAGTAATGACATTGGGATGTGGTATTCTGAGAATTTACAATTCCTCTAGACAGGTGCTGCAATCATTCTGCAAAAAGCAATTTATGGGAAAGCTGGATAGTTGTCCAAGTTTTTCCATTTGGCTCCTTGTCAGACCATTTCTATGTTGGATTAAAATTCTTTCCTAGTTTTTTTTTTTTTTTGCACCATGATTGAGGTGGGCAAATTTTTTATTCTTAATTATACAAAATGCCAGTGTAAGAATTATTTTTTTTATCTTTAGCTTAAGGAAAGAGTTCAAAACTAAAATTTCATATTACCAAATGGACAAATTCTGCATTCACAGTAAGTAATAAGAAAAGAAAATATGGGCTGGGGTTGTAGCTCAGTAGCAGAGTGCTTGCTTAGCATGTGTGAGGCACGGGGTTTGATTTTAAGCACCGTATATATAAATAAATAAAATAAAGATCCATTGACAACTAAAAATATACTTAAAAAAAGAAAAGAAAATACAAATACAAAAAAGTGACTAGACTAAATATACGCAGTTATTACTTTTGAACCAAACTGATTAACTAGAATGCAAATTAAAAATACAACTTTATTCTTCTGCTGACACTTCAAACTTGCTCTATGGAGCAAGTTCTTTCATCTCCAGAACAGAATCCTGAGATCGCATAGAGGTCTCATCCATTTAAATCACAAGAGTAGTCTCACGTCCATGATTAAACTGTCCAGCCCCATATAATAGTGAGACCTTCAAATACTCATCCCCTTGGAGCATCTCCCTCCATCCCAGTTTGGCACTTCTTTGGGCCTGGAAGCCAATAGAGAGTGAGGACTTTTTTGCTGTCTTGTCCTTACTGATCAGCTCCTCCCCTACCTGGAAGCTGCTCTTTCTGACTCTCCCAGGAATGATTGGGGCTGGGGAGAAAAGAAGGGGAAAAGGTCTGTAACTACCGTGATCCTGTTCAGGGGGGTTGGTGGATATTTAATGCTTCCCTTTCTCTCGCATCTGTGGGTCTCTTGGAAACTCCATGATTCCCAGGGAATTCTGGTCCTGGGCAGAGCCTTTCTCCAGCTGAATCTGGAGCTCTCCCTCCCTCCCTCTGGTCGGTTTGTTGGTCATAGGACACATTGGCACATTTCTACTGTGCAGCTGCTCTCCCCTGCCTCTCTGTCCATTCTGAGCCTCTCGTATCAGTCCTGTGCTCCCCAAACTCCAGGGAGCACTCATCAGACCATCTGAGTTGCCCTAGTGAAGCTTCCCTTTGTGTGTTGGAGGTGGGCCAGCACCCCCTTCCATTCTCCATGGCACTCCAGTATTCCAACAAATCTCTTTAAAGGATGTTTTTTTCTCTCTTAAACTTCTCTAGTCTTTTCTCCTCAATCCTTAATTATTCCTTATACAGTCTTGCCAGGGTAAGAAGAATTACTCTTTTTTTTTTATCCTAAGCATAAGGAAAATGTTCAAAACTAAAACTAGAATTTCACATTACCAAATGGCCAATATGATGAGCTAAGGGTTGCAAAATTGGTTTTCAAAAATCTCCTTGGCAAGCCTTTTGCTGTTAGATGAACGCCTCATTATATAATGAGGGTATGTGGCCCCTCTTTTTTTTTCCTCTACCTCTGGGACCTCACCTGATCCTGAGGTGGAAAGTCCCATTTTAACGATCTTATACATAAACCCATGACAAAATAGCTTTAACCTGAGAGTAGTGTTTATTAGGAACAAACAAAAGGTAGGAAACTATCATTATTTACAACCAGATATGAAGTCTGAGACCCTTCCCTCCCTCCCTCGTCCTCACAGGGACCAGCTGGGTGAGATGTCATACACCACAATGTGCATCAAGGAGATGTTCCGATTGATTCCTCCAGTCACGTCCATTTCCAGAGAACTCAGCAAGCCCCTTACCTTCTCAGATGGACGCTCCTTGCCTGCAGGTCTTTGTATTCTTTTCCTAAGCAGTTCCTAGAGACCATGGGATCTTGGGGACCACAATGACAATGATTGGTGGGTTTCTACCCTCAGGGCCTATGGCTTATGGTTAGGCATCTATCAATAGCTCAGAGGATAATTCCTTGATCAGATTTCAGTTTCAGTGACTTTCCCAAGGCACGTAGCCAGTTACTGCAAAGCTAAGCTCATAACCTACATTTCTAGAATCCAGCCCAGGCTTTCTCCCATTGTAAGGTATTTTTCTAAGATAATATTTGTTAGGCTGATTTTGAGACCCAGATGAGACTTCATGGGAGATGAGCATCATTATCTTATTCTGAGAGGCCCAGAGGGATTTATTTTTTTGCCTCATCATCATAATATCACCCTAAGTTTGAAACATTTAATATACATAGGGCCTTCAAACATTTTCTCATTTTCACCCCTTGGAATTTGACTTCTACAGTGTTTTACAGTTTAAAAAAAATTTTTAAATACTTTTGATGTCACCAATAACCTGGGAGAACCCCAATGTACAGATGAGGTTAATTGATATAAGCAAAGCTAAAATTCATGCAGACGCCCCATACTCCAAGCTTAGGTTTCTGGGCTGGGCATGTAAGATGCAGTGGGATTACACAAGACACTCTCACTGTCTGCTTTAGTGCCCCACTAACTGCCTTAGGAAGCTAGTCAACGGGATTGCTTGTGGAAAACACCTACAACCTTCCTGTAACTTGGTTGATAGATCCAGAATTAATTTACCAGAATTATTTCTAGTAACAAAATAAATCTCAAATTCTCTCTCCTTTGTCTTTTTTATCCCCAAACTATATGAATATTTGCCAAAATTCCCCATTTTCCATGTCTGAACTGCATCAACAAAAATTGGCCACTGGATCTGCATGATACAATTATAGTTCTGTTCTTAACATACCCAAGTTGTTGCTAGTGGGTGCTTTACATTCCATTTACAGACATTTAAGTAATTTCCAAATGTGGAAAAAACATAAGCATAGTTTAGCATTTCGATATGACACCAAGAGCTCCCTAGAATAAAATCACGAATTAAGTAAATCATTGCTCTGAAAACTAGGGTATAAATCTAAGTCTCCTCTTTCCCTGTATCCCTCTCTGGTGGCATCAGCTCTGCCACACAGCTCTGCCAGGAGCTAGCTCTCCTTCCAGAATAAGCCTTTCAGAGGAACAGTATAGCAGTAGTCCAATTTATTCTTTCTCCTGTATTCTTCTTTATTTCCCTCCTGCCTCAGGAATCACCGTGGTTCTCAGTATTTGGGGTCTTCATCACAACCCTGCTGTCTGGAAAAGCCCAAAGGTATGATTCTCTTCCAACAGACACACTTCAGAGTACAAACGCTACCCAATTTATTTGGGGCAGCTGAGCATGAACGTGGCTCTACAGTTTAAGCAAATAGCTGAAAGCAATCAAAAAATAGGCATAAAACTCCAAAATGAATAGAACTTGACCACTAATGGGAACTTACCCTCTTTCCCCACTCCTGCTTTACCTTTGCTTTGAATGAACAGATTGACATAATGTCCCACAATCTCCTCTAAATTGCCGCAGTTTCTATTTCAGCCATTTCCCTGTAAAGCTCTACCCAGCATTCACTTAGATATCTCCAAGACTGAGGCCTGACAATAGAGTTGTTTAGGAAACTCAGTCTCTCTTTTGCAGGATGGAACAATAGAGATCCTAGCAGAAAATCAATGACACACTCAAGTTGGGTGATTTGAATGTGTTGTAAGGAACTATTATGAGGATGTGGGCAGGGTTTAGGAAAAGCAAATTAGAACAGACATCTGCCAGAAGTGTTTATCTCTTCTAGGCCTGATGATACCCAGGAGGGAGGGTTACAGAACCTGGAGAGAATGAACTTCAAGGGGAAAGGCCATCAGATAGGAGCTGTGGTAGAGATGCAGCCAAGCGGAGGCAGCAGGCAGAGAGGAGCCAGGGAGTAAATACAGGGAACTCTATCCTCCCACTCTCCAGAGCCCTTATCAGTGTCTATTATTGTCCAAACCCAATGGAAAACCACGTGTGACAGCTTCCTGGGGCCCAGAATAGTCTGGGAAATAGAGAGAGGATCTAGACAGGCAAAGAGGAGATGTGTTGCAGCATTGAGTTCCTTAATTCAATATTTTTGAAACTCAAGTACTCAAGTACCAGTGCTGTCTTTACATATGCCAGTAGGGTTTCAGCTCTAACCTAGTCTACCTGTCCTGGTAATTAATAACTATGGATTTATGTGGCACTCTCACTTCCAAAGTAAAAATAATGCCACTTGTCATATTTTTGCTTCCCCTTTACTCTGACTAGCAGACAAGTCAATTGGTAGCCAAAGTCTGCAGGTCTAGAGGTGCATTGTGAGTGAAGCAGCTACTAGCCTACACTGAGCTACTGCACACTTGAACGTGGCTAATCAGGATTGAGATATGTACTTTAAAGACGTAGTACCAAAACAATGTGAAGTATTTCCTTAATAATTATTTATACTAATTATATTTTGGAACAATAGAATTGGGGGGTTAAATAAATTCTACTATAAAGAGTAATTTCATCTTTTTAAAAGGTGCCTACCAAGGCATTTTAAATTGCCTATGTGGTTTCCATTGTTTCTGTTGAGCAGTATGTAGTAACTTTAAGAAATATGTTAATATTGTTTTGGGGATGGTTGTGGGGTTGTCTTCTTATTGCAGATCTTTGACCCATTGAGATTTACAAAGGAGAATTCTGATCAGAGACACCCTTATGCCTTCTTACCATTCTCATCTGGACCAAGGTGAGGACAACATGAAGTTGCTGAAAATATACAAAAATGTTCAGTTAGGAGTCACTTCCTTTTAGACCCTCAGCGCTATAAATTCTTCCATGGAACCTCATTGTCTCATGAGGCAGATATTGGTTTTTACAAAAAACCTCTGAAAAGATCAGTTAGTTTCACAAAGGATAACACGATTATCTTCACATGCCTCAGAAAGAGATCATACAATGTAAACTATTGCTCATGGACTCCAAAGAGTCCATCATCAATGCAGAAGAAACAATTCTGTAGGTAATTCCAACTGCCGTCTTATGTAGGGAGGACATCATGTTGGAGCCTCCCATTCATCTTCTTACAGGGAACAACATAAGGCTAGAGTCCAAAAGTTTCAGTGGCATTTAATGTGAAAAAGTTACTTTACTATAAACTTTAGACTTGTGATTCTAGAAATTAATTATTAGAGTCAGGTGGAATATTATTGCTCCAAGCATCACTTTCTCTTCCCCTGTGTCTTCAGGAACTGCATCGGGGAGCAGTTTGCCATGCTGGAGTTAAAGGTGGCCATTGCCTTGATTCTGCTCCACTTCAAAGTGACTCCAGACCTCACCAGGCCTCCTGTCTTCTCAAACCACATTATCCTCAAACCCAAGCATGGAATTCATTTGCACCTGAAGAAATTCCCCAAGTGCTAGATCCACAAGTACAATGACTAAATATACTTTGTTTTTAAGTTACATTTACAGCTAATGGTTCAAGCAAATAGAGAGGAATCAACATGCAGTAAGAGGGTTGGAGATAGATGGATTAAGGGATATCTGTAGAGCTGCACATTCCCTAAGGACATTTCCAGGTAACTCCTAACACTGTTTGTTTGTGTGGTTCCAACTATCATTAACACTATATACCAAGCACTTTGCTAAGTGACTTCCAAACATATTCTGTTGTTTTTTTAAAAAGTTTTTAGAATGACTTGATAGGTGGATATATAAATATTTGCTGTAAAAGAAATTCAACATTAGAAAAGCATGTAGAATAAATTAAAAATTTCATTTTACCTAGCCCATACTGAATGCCCTGATCAATCCTATCACCTTTAAAAAAAAGAATAATTTGGTGTGTATTCTTTCATATTTTTTCCTATATATTTCACGTATATACACATAGGAATGTATTCTTACCAATGGGTTCATATCAATATTGTTCTTGCTTTTCTCACTTAATAAAAGTCCATCTTATTCCAAGGACTTATGGTTTTCTGTAATATGAATATTCTATTACTTATTTAACTATTTTCCTCAGTAGATATATGTTATTATAATTTTTAAAATGTGCCTATTGGCCATTTATGTGCCTATTGGCCATTCATCTTTGATTTGTTCTCTGTGATTTGCCTGTACATAATCTATGTTTGTTTTCCTATGATGTTGTATTTCTCGTATTTACTCATATATGTTCTTTATATATTGTGGATAATAATCCTTGATTATAACTTTTTGTATTCTTTTAATTTCTTTTAAATTGCATGTATAATGTCTTTTACCATGCAAAACATTTTCATTTTCATGACCCAAGACATCATATACAAGTTTTTCCTTATGTTTTCTGAGTTTTGATTCTTGAATAAGAAAGCCTTCATTTTTAATATTACAAAAATATTCCACATATTTTTCTGGTGCTAGCCATTCCTGTGAAGCCTGAATGGGGGAATTTCTTAATAATTTCCAGATCCATCACTCATTGAAGCCTAATCAGAAATCTAGACTTATTTTTAAGGGTTAGGGAAGCCCTTTAAAAGTTTTGCACCATAGGTAGGACTTGGAGTTAGAAAAGTGTGCATTTGTTATATGGAGGAGCAAGAGTGGAAACAGAAAGAAAAGGGCCGGTCAAAAAGGTATTATGATCGTACAGGTAAGAGATGATGCTGCCTGACAAGGATGGTGGCAGTGAAGTTGAAGGTAAATGGATGTGAGAAGGATTTTGATGGTGTTTGGTAGAGTAGATAGAATTTGTTAATTGGTTGAAAGTAGAGAATCAGTAAAGGGAGATAACCCAAGATTTATGAAGCCTTGGTTACAAGACTGTCACATCCAACCATAGAAACACTTTCGATAACACTCGTGATCACCAGACATCCATCAGTGCTTTGCCTTGTTGACATTTTGAATATAGGGAAATCCTGTAGTGAACGATATCAGACCTGAGGGCTGTAATAAGAACAAAAGTTTAGTGTGAGGAGAGAGTAACTTATGGGATCAAGAATTCCCTTAGCCACATGGAAAATCCACCATCTTGGATTTAATGAAATCCGTATACCGCCAAAGACGTATGAGGGTATTGATAGGATTTTGCCCTCAAATATAGTGATTCCAAATGCCTCCTAAAAAAATATCTAGCAGGTTCACATAATTCTGACATAGTTTCTACTTTCTTTTTGTCTCCTCTGTATCCATTTGTATGATTGTGAAAGACCCTCAACTACCAACTTCACTGGTTTAATTGGTAATCTCTGCACAGTGCTTCAGTGCCGTGCCAAGTGCCAAGGACAACAGAGGAGCTTATGTGATCACAGTGGCTATCGTCATGAGTGCTTAAAGCATTCTGGAACTTACAGCAGTAATCATATTGTGATGGACCTGGATGGAGATTTCCTTTATAAATTAACGTGTATGTCTGTTGGAAATCTGGATGATTACTGATTACTGAACTCTAAATGTTGTGAACATGGTGAACCCTGTTCCAGATACTATTTCTATTTCTATTTTAAAAGCCCCATCTCAGTCCCTTCTTCAATGGCCAGTTGATTGTGGCAGAGATGACTTAGCAACATTCCTTCCATGTGCTTTGTTCACTCCTACAGAAATAGAAGGTCTAGCTGAATGCAAAGCTGCCAGCTACAGATTGTATTGTCTAATCTCCTTTTCAATTAGATGCCTGCTGAAACTAGATTTGGGGCAGAGCTGTAAGCAGAAGTGATATGCACAACTTCCAGCTAATATCTTAAAAATAAAAGGTCCATGATCTCCCTTCCCCCTCTACTGCCTTCCTACTTTACTGAAGGCAGATGTGGTGACAGGAGTGTTAGAGTCTGTAAACAAGTCAAAATAACACCTGGCATTTTGCCAGGGGAATGGAGTAGAACCACTAGCTCAGACCATTAGCTGGAGGCTTTGTGTTCAAGATGCAGAACTAGATAGAAGGAGCCTCATGACTGCAGGACCCTGTAGAACCACCTTCCTACCTCTGGGCCACCCACCTCCTTAAGACTACAATATTACCTCTCTCTGCCCCAGCTCATTCCTTGGGCCACCAAATGTCTGGGTTTATTTTCTTCCCAAATATAAGACATTTACCCCTTCCTCAAGGATGCTAACAAAATGTCTAGCTAGCTAAAGGACCAATATCTCTAACTTATGCACATTTCTCTTCATCAGGCCTGGATGTGACTCTTTGTGTTCCAGGGGCCTATGAACAAAAGGCAAGGTATATTCACCCTTTGCCCAATATACATGATAGAGCCGAGTTAAAGAAATTGCAGTGAAAACTCCCAACTCTATCCTATTAAACTATATTTCCCAGATGCTCTTGCTATACATGACTGTGTCACCAAGTTTGGACCAATGGATATAAATAAATTTGATGTGTGCAACTTGGCTGCTCATCCTGAATTTTTTTTCTCCTTTTCTGTCTTAGTCTGTTTTCCATTGCTATAACTGACTATCACAGACTAAGTAATTCATTTAAAAAATAAATTTATTTCTTATAGTCCTGAGGCTGGAAATCCCAAGGTCAAGGGGCTGCATCTGATGAGGGACTCCTTTTTGAAAGCAATTCTGCAGAGTCCCAAGGCAGCACAGGACATCACATGGTAGATAGAGCAAATTTGATAGCTTGGGTTTCTCTTCTTCTTCTGAAAAAGCCACTAATTGCATCTTAGAGGTTCCACTCTTATAACCTCATCTAATTCTCACTACCTTCAAAAGGTATCACCTCTAAATATCATTAACAGGTGATTTGAGTGATTTAAGTTCCAACACACACCTTCTGGAGAACACCCCAAACAACAGCACCTTCCCAAGGGCTGGAAAGGCAAAACCTCAGTCTTGACTTAGAAGTGAGATTGATATTTTAGGGGAAGGTAGATAGACATGGAAGAAAGGTGGGTTCCTGAAAACTTCATGGACCATAGCTTCTCCACCAGCCTGGACTGTCCAGATGATTGATGACGTGAGAAATAAATAATCATGTCTTTCGGAGCTCTGGGTTTTGGTCTCTGTTACCAGTTGACCTTCACCTAAATTAATATATTCCTCCAATTCCAAAAACCCTTCCTGTTCCCCAAGAGGTCAAGATTTCCTGACTTCTGTGATACCTTCCTTTGTTTTAGAGTATAGTTTTAATGCTTAAGTATGCAACTTCAAATACTGGAGTTTAGTTTTTCTTGCTTTTGAAGTACACATGAATAAAATCATAATTTTAATTTGGCTTGTTTTATATCCATGTCACACCTTTTTTAAGAGTAGCTGTTCTTTAGTCATTTTCATTGCAGTATAGAATTCCATTATGTATTCACCACAATTCATATATCCCTTCCAGTCTTGATGAACATTTAGGCTATTCCCAGGTTTGGTTCAGCTTTTGATAGTATAAATAATGCTTCTATAAAGCAACCTCATTACATGTATCTTAGTACACAAACACACATACCCTTAACAGTGGGATTGATAGGGTATAACATAATTATATATTCAAACATAGTATATAATATGTTTACAATTTTTCCAATAATGTATGAAAGTTCCTTACTGATCCACAAAAATCCCACCATTGCCACTTGGTGCTCCTGACTTTTTTAACTTAATTTGGTGACAGTGTATCTCTTTACGGTTAGATTTTTTATTTCCCTGGTGGCTAATGAAGTTGAACATTTTCACATGTGTTAGGTCGATTGGCAATCCTCTTTGCAATGCCCTTGTTAGGCTCTGCCCATTTTCCATTGAGTTTTTTCTCTTCACATGGGTGTCTAGGCATTTGTTATACAGTCTGACCTTGACCCATTTGTTAGTAATATCTTGCAATTACCTCCTTTCACTGTGCGGAATACTTGTCATGTACAAACAGCATCCTTTCATTAACATATGTTCTTAAATCTCATATATCCAAATTTATAAAAAATTTTTATAGCTAATGTTTTTTTAAACCCATTTGCGAAGTCCTTCTACTTCCTGATCTTTTATAAACCCTGGCGGGGGGTGGTTGTATTATTTTTTGGCCTTCACTTACAGATTTAGAAGTCACCTGGAACTGATTTGTCTAAATACTGTGAGGTAGGAATTACATTTCAATATTTGTTTCATCTGGATAATCAACGAACCCAGCCCCATTTATTGAATAAGCTATTTATTTCCCAGTGCTTCCCAGGGCCCTATTTTTCTGAATCAAGATTCCATACATATTAGGCCTGATTCTGTACTTTCTATTCTAAATTCTTATTAGTACAGCCTCGTGCTAATACCACATTAATTGAGTACCATACGTTTATAAAAACTTGATAGCTGATGAGATATCTTCTCTCATCACTTTTTAAGAGTATTCTTGATATTCTCACTTAATACTTTCTTATAAAGAATAGAATCAATTTTTCCAAATCCTACAGTATCGTAGTTCCTATTTTGATTGGGAGTTTCATGAATTT